TGTATCCAGCAGAAGAAAGAAATTTACACAGGTTTGAAACAACTTGAAGGTAAGTAAATGATGACTGTTTTCATTTTTGGATGAACTATTCCTTTAATACAATACTATGGCAAATTAGAATAAAGATATTCTACTTAAAGATTCTATATACTACTAAATGAATTACGGAAATGCAGTATTGCAGTGAGGTAGGCATTTTGTTGTGAAAGTATAAATCTAACCCCAACCCAACAAGTAAATGTATGTGTGTGTTCAATCATTTGACAAACCTAAATAATACACAGTTCTGTTCATAAATTCACAGAACTTTGGTTGTTATTAGAATTTTTGTCTTTGGGTGGTGTGGCCTAGTGGTTGAAATGTCAAGGCTGGTAATTGGTTCAATTTTCAAACTGGTTCATCTGAAAGGTTGCTGGTGTAGTGTGAGGAGCAATCCATAAGCAATGTTGGGAAGGTTACTTTGGAAATGTAAGGTTATAGATTACAAGTTACCCTATTTAAAATGTAATAGTAGTGTAACTTGTTCAATTACTTTATTAAAGTAATGTAACTGATTTCTTTTGATTACTTTACTAAATTTCTAATGAATGTTTATTTGCAAATAATTTTCAAACATTTACACCATGCAGGGTTAACCTTACAGTAGTGCTCAACTGTCAGACTTCCAAAGTCCTTCATCACTTGAATTAAGATCATCAAATTTGAACACATCCACCACAAAATCAAACTTTAGTACCGCGTTTTACTTTTGAGATTGATCTGAAGTTCAATGCAGATTTAAAATCTTAAGAAATAGTTAAGACAAGAAATGGTTAATAGATAAGAAATATTTGCAAAACTACAGGAAACACTGCATCTAACAATGGTTTGGAAAAAAAAATGTTAATTAAAAAATAAATAAAAGCATATACATCAACTCAAATACGGTTATCTAATAAGCATGTGTTCTATTCTGTGTACTAAACTCCTGAAACATTGGTGTCTCTTTGTATATGATATGATGATAGTTCTCAAAATAAGTAAAATGCTCATGAAGTGACTCAGAGCAGTTCTAGAGATTATGTTTTTGTGTTCATGTACTCATATATTGAGGCGGCAGAGGCTGAAAATACCGCGAGCTTCAGTAGGCCTATGTGTAGTAAATGAAACCTCATGTCTGCGCCATTAATTTCCACGAGGGGTGGACTGGGGGAAAAAAATTCAGGCCGGGAAATCTCACACTCACAACAAATTCTGAAACATGGACAACCCTATTTTTTGTATGGACCTCACATAAAAAAAAAAAGGTTTAAATCCTTAGGTTGGGGACATAATTAAAAGTTCTCTCATGAACTGTACCTTCACTTCTGTCACGGTGCACACACGAGGAACGAGGAGACGCTGGAGAATACTTTAACAAGACTTTATTTCCATGAACCAAGGGAGACGAACTCAGGAAGACATTTAACAGCGGACAGAGAACTAGGGACTGGGAACACTTTAAATACACACAGGAGGAGGGGGTGACGAGACACACCTGGGAGCAATGAAACATCAAGGGAAACACTTTGGGGCTTGCCACACTAACTGCCGGCTGACTTGGGGAAGCCGCGGACGGTGGCAGACTGGTTCTGGCTCGGGGCCGGACACTCCCCAGACACCGGAAAACTCCTTCTCTCCAAGTTAGTCCAGTGGTGTCTGGGAGGTCCACGGGGCGATGGTAGTTGGCCCCGAGCCAGAACAGCTGATTGAGGACGGCATCGTAGCAGTGGCGGCTCGTGGGGTTTAAAATAGAGGAGGCACACTAATTGTATTGGTCTGGGATCCCTGCTGATTATTATTATTATTATTTGCTTAACCACTTTAAATTAG